TGTTTTGATGTGTTGTTGTTGTGTGTGTGTAAGGCGTACAACTTGTGTATATAGAGGAGCTACGACCCGTCTCGTTTTAACAGGCGGGTGGAGAGATACCCGTTTGACGATCACCATGTCCCGGAAATTTCGATGATTAAGGAGTTTTGTGAGGAAGTGCACGCGTGGCTGTCGCGGGACCCGGAGAATATTGCCGTCGTGCACTGCATGGTACTTGAAAATTATTCTTGATCGAGCGCTCTCATTACAAGAAAGAAAAAATGCTGAAATTCAGATGGAAATATATTACAATGGGATTCTAACGGTAGTTTCGATGGATATTCCAGTGCTATTATTTTCGTTCGAATTTTTCAACAGATTCCAACGAAAATGGTTTTTCATTGGCGATTCTAGCAGTAGATATTTCAATATGAGTGGAAATTGCATATTCTAACGGTAATAAATCGTTGTAGAAATTCTCGTTGGAATTATTAATTCCTATGAGAAACTCATTCCAGTGGAATATTTCTATTGGAATTTTCGTTGGAATACTATTGCAATAATTGCAATTACCGTTGGATTTTTCGTTGGAGTATGACAATTTATTTTGGTATGTCTATTTTTGGGTTCTTTTGTGTTCCTAAGTTTTTACTGAACTCAAATCATGAGCTGCTTCATTTTATTTTCATTGAGCTTTTTCTATGTTCAAATTTTAGTATTTTTCTTTTTCCCCTTCATTTTGTGCAAACACTTTTGAGTTGAGTTGAGTTGAGTTAAATTTTGCAGGCAGGAAAAGGTCGAACGGGCTTGATGGTATCATGTTACCTCGTTTACACAGGCATGTCGGCCGAGAGGGCTTTGCACGTGTTTGCAGAAAGACGAACTACCAATAACGAAGGAGTAAGTCGATTTTATGTCCATAACTAAAACTTCGTATATAAACCATTCAATCTATTCAACTGTTCTTGATTTTAGAAATAGAAAAAAGAAAAAAAAAATGGTGGTTTTACTTTACACGATTGTTGTGCAGGTCTCGATAGCTAGCCAGCGTCGTTACGTTTTATATTGGGAGAAAATAGTTTCTCTAACAAAAGGGGTTAATACAATTCCTTGATTCATCAAATTGCCTAAACCGTGCAGTCGAGAGCTTCAGCGCATTCGGTTATACGACACGGTCAACATTAATCAGGTCTTTGTTGTGGTCTCTGAGCTGCAAAAGGTATATAATTAATGGGTTATAATAATTTATAGATCATACATATAAAATCCCACATTTGAGAGGGGGAAAATTAGTTTAAATTGTGTTGGACTAAAATTTCATTTATGTCATTGTTTTTTTTGTTTTCTTTCCAAATTCGGTTATTATGCAGGTTCCCGGGCAGCGGTACGCGCCACCAGTCGAGGTTTCAAAGAGCTGCTGCAGACGAATTAGAAAAAATCACGAAAGATCATCCAATAAGCCTCGGTATTACTTCTCATTAGTCGAGAAGGAAGAAGGCAAAGAAAAAGCTGTGGAGCCTCGTTTGGTCGTCCAAATGGACACCGAAAGTTCCATAATCTACCAAAAGAATTGTCTCGGTTTCGATTATGAGAAACCCGTGCAAGTAAGAAGATACTAATAGCATTATGCGAAAAAAATGTGCATATCGTTAGCTCGCGTTCGGTTTGGTATTTTTCGTTTTTGCATAACAACATTATTAGTTCTTCTTATATAACAAAAATTTCCTTATATATCTAACTTCTAATGTACGATTTTTTTTTTTATTTTTTTTAATGTTCGATAGGTAAAAGGGGACGTGCGCTTGATTCTCTACGAAAACCTGACGGGAGGTCGTCTATTCTATGTCTGCTTCAACACATCTTTTATAACCGGCAGCTTACTGCAGGTACATTTTCTACATTTTATTTTGTTCCTGTTGTTTTTTGAAATTCTGTTACTTATATCATTAACTACATATGTAAAAATAAATTAAGAAAAAAAAAGAGTACGCATTTTGAATGTGTTTATATGGAAACTTGCAGTTCTCGGTCGAGGATTTAGACAAAGTAGGGAGAAGGGGTCGATCGATATGTAGGCCTTCATTCTGCCTTGAGCTGTTTTTCGCTCCCTCTTACGCTAATTGCTTGGCGCCTCCATCAAAAGACGATGTTCTTTGTCGAATTTGAGTGATTTTTTTGAGAAAAATTATTCAAAAGCTGTTAGTTGATCAGTGAAGAGTTCATTCCCCTGTGCATTTGTAGCTGTCTTCTTGTTCAATTTTATTTATTTTTTTAATTTTATATTGAAGACTTTGGATAAATTTGAGAGAAGTTTGTATCTGTAGTTAAAGATCATAAGTCATAACAGAGATACCACATATGCATTCAAAATTTTCTTTGGTGAGAAGTGGATAGAGATTATAGAATATTGATTTCAATAATTTTGATATCTAAATTGCTAGACATGATAAACAATTTTTATTTTAAAGTATAGAGAAGTTTTATAGATAAATGTATAAAAATAATTAATAAAAATTTATGTTCAAATTATATTCGCTCCTAATTGCTTTTATTTGCATCACTTCAGAAAAACTTACTACCTATTAGTAATTGAAATTTTAATTATATGAAATTTTAAACAAGTCCCACAAAATTAA